TTAATAGTCTCGATCTACATGATGTTCATAGCTGTGGCTCGCATTTGGCTGATCAAGTTGTTGTCTACGTCTGCAGATTTAACTAATGTTTAGGGGTATTTTCGAAAGCACTTATGATTGTCATGGGCCTAGGTTAACAAAGGCAAGTTAAGCTGGTGTGGTCAGTTAAACTTTGAAGTATATATTACATGCAATGTCCGCATACACGTGATGCCTTTTTACCGTCGCACGCGAGAAGTCCACCAGAGAGTCGGGGGCGTGTAACATGGACTCACGCGCGAACTGAGTTGTTGTGAGACAAATTTGCATTGCATCTGTTCATTTCTCCCCTCTCCACCCACACCCGACATGGTTCAGTAGCAAAATGTGCGCATTAAAGCTGCAGCTGGATTGCAAGACAACTTTTACCCAAAAGGGTCAAGGTCATGTTCACATATAGGAGACCTTTTTGAAGAGAAATAGTATGTATTTAAACCCTATTGACAAAATTACTTATAAGGTTGCAAAAATTCCCATCACAGAAATCCGAAGAGCCATTGGCAAGCGTGCATATACTTTCAATAAATTTTCATCAGGCTGTTACATTTATATGGGAGGAGAAGAAAGGTCTGAAAGGTAAAATTGGTAAATAACGTTCAACATTAAAGGCAAATTAGTCCAGGGAGGTTGGGGGTAGAAGCAAGCGGCTAATTAAGCGGCAATTAGGGAGAGGGGGAAAAAGGAAAGAGGAGGCGTCGAAAGATACCGGTAGCTGGGTTTTTGTTGGCCATTCTGAACTCGGAGCTTGCAGAAGATTCTTTTGCGCACACAATTAATTATGCAATAGGACCCATCGAAAAGTGCAGTGTGGCAAGTGCTGCAAGCACAATTCCGCCATTTGCGAAAGACTGGTAATCATCCGCAAACCAACATTAACTAGGGTCGCAATACTGATTATCGTGCAAACTAATCTCTAGTCTTTTATGTCACGTCAGAATGCCGGCTTTTTAATGAGCTTCTTTTTGACCGTTTACAAGAAGTAGATTTTGTAAAAAAATGTCTCCTTAAATAGTATGCATTTTTATCATGGATTTTGACTGCTTTTTAATGCCAATTTAGTTTAGAAAAACATGCATGAAAATATTTTTATTTTAGTCGTTTGGTAGGAAACTTCGCCTTCTCTATATTTTCCACTTTAACAAAGGGTATCCTTCATTTTAAGAAGTGTTTCTCCTTATGAGATATTTTACGGCTGTAAGCTGGTCATTCATAATGCATTTTCTCCGTTAATTTACTAATGCCGCCTATAATGTATACAGCATAATCCTCAACTATTGCTTAATTTTATGAGAACTATGTGACCTATTCCTCAATCTGTAGGCAAAAACGTTTTTTCCCTGAGCAGAGTGTACAAATTATACGATTTGGAAACCTTAAATTCAGGTCCAGCAGTCAGTAAATTTCAAAATTATTCGGCAATTTAGCAAGTTTTTTTAAAATCAAAAGTTACCCTATCTATAAGAAGACAATTTAAATAAGGCAAACTTTTCTACTAGATGAGTGTATGAAAACATATTTCCGTTCATGTTTTTAAAAAATAAATTGGAATTAAAAAGGCAGTCAAAATCAATGATAAAAATGCATACTAATTAAGTAGCCATTTTTTAAGAAATTTACTTCTTGTAAGTGGTTAGTATAAAGCTCATTAAAATGCCGGCATCCTGATGTGACATAAAAGACTTGAGATTAGACTGCATGATAATCCGTATGGCGACCCTAGTTAACGTTGATTTGCGGATTATTACAAGTCTTTCGCAAATGGCGGAATTTTGCTTTCAGCACTCGCCTTATTGTAGTCTTCTGGTTCAGAAATAGAGCATAAAATAAAACACCGTTAAACAATTCGACTTCCACCTTCTCTTACCTCATCATTTTGACCCTAGGCTGCACGTTCTTGAATTACGCCAAAACCACTTCCAAACTTGGTTTGAAGTTTTATAACTAGCCGTCTTAGCAAACAAGGTACCAATATACTACGAAGTTAATTCTGAAATTGACCTCAACATTTGGTAACTAGGCTACAATCGTCAGGAGTTTCTTGAGAGAGAAAATGCATTTTTCCTAAATAGGTTCCTCCTCGTAAGAGCTTTTACAGTCAGGCTTATCTGTAATAAAGAGCTCTTGTAGTTTAACAGATCAGGGTAATATTTCCAAAGCTTGGATTGTTTGTAGCCGTAAAAATTAAACACGCTGTAGGTTAACATCTGGGCTGTCCTCAGCCTTCTTGCAATCCAGGTACGTTCTAATGGTTTACGAATTTGGTGGCGACATTGCTCCAGCCGAGTGACTTGTTGAGCGCTCTGCAGGGCAAAATTGTCCCTGTCCAGAAAAGAAAGCAAAATTCTGTTTAGCAGTCAGGTACTTTTTAGCTATCTCTTTGACGCCGGCGTCTTAGCCCCGCCACGAGGCGTTTATGTCGGGTGCTACTGACACTCGTTTAGGAACATTTACCGAACACTAATGAAACTCACTTGTCCCGCTCTGCCTTTGCCTTGGGCCTTAATTTCTCGGACCCTGGCAGCAGCTATAGCAGATAGTAGTATGGGCAGATAGCATTGCCGGCAAAGAAAAGGGAGGCTGGTAAAATGGCCATTTCTGGCTTATTAGGCGTCGTCAGCCAGTCATACTTTGCCCCAAGTGGTGCGCCGCTCGCGGCGTTGCGAGACAAGTGAGATCCATTAATGGTCGGCGAATGTTCATCAAAGATTGTCAAGGATAGTTTACAAGTTTCCCCAGAATATCGCCTAACCACAAAATTCTGTAATATGCGAGCGATAGTTATGCAGAAAATATTTATTTTGCATCAAGCGATAGCAAATAAAAAGTAATCATTCAATCTACTAAGAACTATTCGTTACATCAAATTAAAAGCAGGTTAACTTATACAACCTATATATTGACAAGAGAATACTTAGATGCAACTGAAATATAGTAAATAAAAGGTAATTTTAATTTAGTTTTATCGCCTGGTTCCGTTCAAAATATTTGTTTCAATGGATGTGCTATGTTTGCATGCGAAAAGAAGAGTTTTCATTTTATCTCCTGTCCAGTTAAACATAAATCGTGGATCATGAGATACTCGGATACCTAGAACTGTCTTTACCTACATAACTTATTACCACCAAAATAGTCGCTGCGATCATACGGAACTCGTTTCCTCATCCGAAAGAGACACGTCGACTACATGGAGCCAACCTTCCGCAGAGAACGGTGCTCTGTCTGCCGGATGCCTCTCCCCCTTTAGAATTTCGCCTGTTTTGCACAAACGTTCATTTATTTTGTGTCGTCGAATTGTTCGGTCGCAAACATGTTTACGCGTATGGCAGCATGGGTGGATAACTTCAGGCCGACAACGCATGCAAGTCACGCCATTGCAGAGTGGGATAACGCGCTCAGAACGGCACGCTTTAAACTATGCACGCCGAACCCGCGAACATGAGAGCGTGTTCAGGCTGACTACAAGGCCGATTACAGCAGCCAATCAATTCTGCATCTTGAAGGTCACGCAAAAGTTAAACTAGGAATTGGGGTTCACTGTCGTTACGTGAGCTCGTATCTTAGCAGGACACTAGCTATCGGCCACCACTTTACAGCTGCCGTCATTGGAGCACAGCTTTCCTATTTTTGGGCACCTTGATTGTGGACGCTGCAAAGCCTCATAAGAGGAGATGGGCACAGTCGTGAGTTATATGTTTAGTCCTTCGACACGAGCACTGTGGGTACTGGGTTTTAACCGCAGAAAGTGAATTCTGACGTGGAACTGAAGCGCGATCCGTAGTGGCGGGTGAAACCATTCAGAATGTAAACAGAAAGTCCATCGACTTCTTTAGCAGCCGGTTGTTCCTCTCTATCCAATCACTCTGAGTTTTGATATTGAAATTCGGATGTTAGAATCTCTTCATTCGTTTCCATGCCTATCTGAAATCCTCAAAAGGATCTGGCTGAAGCTGCCACAGACAAGGATTTGCTGAAAATTTGATATTTTTTGTTGACATCACTTGATTAAGAGCAGTTTTGTCGATTTTGGCAACAGAGCCTTCCGTGAAGTGAAACACTTTCAGCAGCTGTTACACCTGACTCGAAAAAATGACCAGAATTAGGTAAAATATTTGCAAGCGTAAGCAAGTTGACCTCCACTGTTTTCCTTACCTTCAGAATCACTAGCTGGTCTACGTTGGCCGGCTTAGTCCAGACCTTTTGCTAACAACGATAACAAAAAGTGAAATAGACTTTGAGTTTTTTATACAAGCGTTCTCCAGAGGTTTTTCTTGCACTCAGTTGATCACATTACTCTGTCATTCAGCCGAGGGATCTCCCAAATTGGTCCGGTTAATTAATTCCTTCCTCCACCCTCTTCCGTCTATTTCTGGCAGGCACTAGTTTCCAGCTGTCGCCCAATTTTCACTGTACAATGTGCCTCCGAATGTCAGTCTTGTATGACATATATGCCTTAACCGACTTGCTCGCCTTTCAGTTGTGGACTCCCTTCAATTAATTTTTTGTAAAATTAATTCAGTGGATTTCTGCAGCTGGGGTGTATTTTGGGGCCGAAGTGCCCCAACCATTGAATGGAATTAACTTTATTCAATAATAGGGGTCATTTAGGCCGAATTTTGATATGTGTAAACTCGAAAATAGCTGGAGTTTGCTTAAGGTCCTGCAGTACGCCGGCTTCTAGTTTTATTTAATTAAAATGCATGAACGCAACCACCACTTAGGTAGTGTGCGCGGTTTTATTTAATTTGCACCGATTGCGTAAATTCACGATTATGCATGATTACAGTTATTCCCATATAACAGGTTTCCTAGTGCTAATTCCAGAGATAAATATGGATGTGGTCATGGCTGAGGGTGATATTGCGTTGAGATTGTGATTGCTATTTGTTTTAGAGCCTAAGTGAGGTTTGGAGTTAGGATCGTTAGTGTTAGGTTTATGCTTAAGGGCGTCGGTCTTTGGTTTACGCCAGAGTTAGAATAAAGGAACAGGAACAACTGCCAATGAGGAATCTAGCTTAAGGTCACTGTTAGCATGTCAAGGGACTTCTATCAGTGTCCAATGAATTCAGTTCTGTCGCAGAATGCAAAAACGCAGATTTGCTTTTGTCTACGTCTCACTAACTCTCTGTCCACTACTTCTATGGTATACATATTCTGCATTTAGACAAACTTTTCAAATAGTTCCTTTTCGAGTCCCCTACCTAACTTTCTCCTGCTTAACATGGACCGGGGTGCATGATCATCGATTGTTCTTCATTCTGGCGAACCTTATCATGTATTTCTGCCGGAACATGACAGCTTTGGAAACCGAAAGAAGGAAAGATATAATCTGGCTATCCTTTTCAAGCGAAAGTCTAGTTATTTGCACTCAATTTACCACTGGTTTTTAAACGCCCTATCTGTGGTAACTCAATCCTACCAACTCAGAGACTAGTTTCAGTGGATGTTACTTGAGGGGGCTTTGGGAATTTCTCGACGATTTGACAATGCAGGCAGAGAGAAGGGGTTTTCACGAAGGCCGAATCTTTGGCACGTGTTTGGCACCTAATTGCGTACAAACTGTAGCAAGAATTGCCTTACGCGGATGCACAGTCCTTATCGCTAATGTTGATCGGGTGTGCCTACTGAGGTTTATCGTGTTTGCCACTTTCTATGAAAACTTGATACCTTGGGCGGAGAACAGATCATGAGGCGAGTTCATTTAGTTCGTTCGCACACTGTATCTGATGTCACCTCCACTTGTATTGATACTGTTTTCGCAATTGCGTCTAATTGTGAGGAATTCGAACGCCCCATAAATGCTGAACAAGTCTTTTGCACTAATGGTCATTCATATGCAAGTTATCAGCATTGCGTCCAACCCGGGAACGTCTTTAATCACGACAATAAACAATAAGTCTGCTTCTGTTTATGTTAATATCTCTGATGAAGAATCCGCGACGAACTTCGAGACGTCAGGCGAATAAAAATCTTGTCCGAGCGATCGCATCTTCTTCTTAAGATTTCAGTTTTCGGTTTGTTTACCTTCCTTAGAAGTTAATTGCTAACTCGGAGCAGCTCAGTATATTCAAGAGTATAAAGGCACAGACCGAAATGTGATGCAATTGTAAAGGTTTATGGGCGTAGACTGGAAGTAGATATGAATATGATAACCAGTACTGAGCCTATGCCTATAAATTATCCAGTATAATAATGTACTCGTATATAGCGATTCCCTTCCGAAGAAACACTAGAGTACCAATATCAAAAAATAGGATTATCTACCAGAAAGTAGGTAGGGAACGCTGGACGATCCACCAATGAGGCAAACCTTTCGCAGTTGTGTCAAGCAGCGGCAGAGTACCGGCCAAACAGTGTCTGCACTTTTAGTAATTACCAGTAGACAGTATGCAGCCAGTATGGTTAATACTTACAGTACGGCCTAGAATTCACGTAACATGCTGACGTACGCGAAGGATTGATACGCTTTCGCTAATCGGCATTGAGTAAGGTTGTAATACTGATTATCATGTAGTCTATTGTGAAGTCATTTTAATCACTAAAAGATGTCGGCTTTTAACGAACTTCTTTTTGACCGCTAACAAAATGTACGTACTGTAAAAAGTGACTACTTGAGTAGTATGCACTTTTATCATTGTTTTTGACTGCCCATATAACTTCAAATATGGTTTATGGAAAACATACACGAAAAAAATAATTTTTGTACTCGTTTGGTAGCTAGTTACGCCTTCTTTACATTTTATGCTTAAAAAGGGTATCTTTCGGTTTATTAAAAATTTTCTATATTTTCCAATCATGTTTAAACCTACCGACTGTTACACGTGAATTCAAGCTTTATAAACTGCGCGCTATGTGCATTCTGTTTAGGGAATGGTGCTTTTTTGCATAAGGTTTAAGGAAGAAATTAAATAGTTCTCATAAAGTATCGCGACAGACCTAAAGCATGCTACACACATAATAGGCAGCAATAATAAATTGATGGATGCGATGTATAATGAACGAACACCTCGCAATCGTAAAACAGCTCAAAATTAAGCACTTTTTAAAACCGAAAGGTAGGCTTTCTTTAAGTATAAAATATAAAAGAAGGCGCAACATGGCACTTAACGAGTAAAAGAAACAATTGTTTCGTTTATATTTTATATAAAATATATTTGAATTTATAAGGGCCGTCAAAATCAATGATAAATGTGTATACTACTTATATAGCCACCTTTTACAGTACAACCGTTTTGTTATTGGTCCGAAAGAAGCTCATTATAAAGCCGGAATCCCACCATGGCTGAAATGACTTCAGGATATACTGAACGATAGTCAGTATTACAACCTTAATCAAGGCCGATTAGCGAAAGAATATGAATCTTTCGCATGGGTCGGCATGTTACACAAATTCTAGGCCGTACTGTATGCAGGCTATATTACTGACTGTCTGCTGGCAGCTCGTGAATAATATGGTTACCCCGTGACAACTGATGGATTTTCGCACGAATATTCAGATAAAAGTTAGATCAACACTTGTAGACCCTTGAATCCACCGATCTACTCCGAATTGGGAATTGGCTCTTACTGAACAAAACCTTTTGTGGTGTTCCTGCATTTAGAATTATTCACCTACTTAATGTAGAAAAGTGACTAGGCATTTTACATGCCCGGACTTTTGGTTGGCATTTATGCTGACTTTATGATTGCACTACTTACTGTCGACACATTTAACCTTCACTTTTTAGCTCCAGAAGACGTGGGCAAACGGTATGATGTCGGTTCGGTGATTGGAGACGGAAACTTTGCCATCGTCCGCCGTGCCCGAGACAGAAGCAGCGGTCAGAATTGCGCCCTCAAAATCGTGGATAAATTCCGTATTGAGGGCAAAGAGCGGATGTTAAGGCGGGAACTTCGTATCCTACGCCGATGTAATCACAACAACATAGTTAAACTTCTGGAAGAATTTGAAACTCCGACCCAGTTCTATCTTGTGATGGAGCTCATTGAGGTACACAGCGTTCCAAACCCTTCCGCGAGCTCTTGTTCCTACAGTCTCGTTTAAGTCTCTTAAATAAATACTCATAGGATGTTTCACCTTATAAAAGAAATTCAAATGTTTACATCAAGCTTTTGTTTTTGACAATTATGTTAGCAGCTCAGGGCCAAGAAGACGTATTACTTAAATTGTAGGTATCCATTGGTTCGACAGCATTGAAATATTTGTAAAAAATATCCTGTTTAATATCGGGTGCATACTTGCGTTTTTATCTCTTGCGATCCATAATTTTACAAGGATAGGTGACACAATTTCAACGAGCCTCTCATTAGTTCGACAGTTTGTTCTCTCCCCGCATTTCATACGCATAAGACATGAAGTACATATACAAGGGACAGTAACGTAATATAAAGTCGACAGATTGATACCATTGTTCACATCGGTTTTTTTACTTAACAGCAGCGCATAAGGTGCCTCCTCTGTCTCTGAAGCTACGTTTCTATTCATCAGTACCTATTCTTCTCAAATAGTCGATATTTGTTTTACCTTTTAACAGGGTGGAGATCTCTTTGAACTGATCAGCAAATTTCGGCGGTTCTCTGAAAAGGAAGCGTCAGTCATGATAACTGACGTAGCCAAGGCCTTGTTGTACCTACATACGCACAGTATTGTTCATCGAGATCTGAAGCCAGAAAATCTTCTTGTAAGTTTTTGTGGTCGAAAGTGAAGCATTCTTTGTGTCACTGATTTATAGCCTTGCTATATTTCTGAAAGCAGTTGATACCAGTGTCCAGTCAAGCAACCGTAAAATGATTTCTGAGATTTTTCTTGCGACCAAAGGTTTCTTAGGATCATTACCTGCTGATTAGGCCGAGAACCAAAAAAGAATTAGTCTCATACTTATGGCTGTTTGATTCTAATTCAGTTTGATTCAGTTTACCCTCTCAAACTCATGTACTCAATATTAATGAATAGTACCTATTTGCAGGTGACTAAAAGCGCATCTGGAGAATATCACCTCAAATTGGCCGATTTCGGTCTAGCAACGGAGGTGACGCGACCTCTGCGAACAACTTGTGGAACCCCGACCTATATTGCACCGGAAATGCTACTCGGAATCGGTATGTATTTCAGCCCGTCTTCTTATTCTAATTTTTTCAAAGCAAAACCGATACCTGTATTAAATTGGTTTGGCAGCTGACTGCCGTTGCTTTCAGTTTAAAATAACACCTCCTTTTCCGTGCCGATGTCATTTAGGTTATGGACTTGAGGTTGACGTCTGGTCGCTGGGAGTCATTTTTTACATACTTCTTTGTGGATACCCACCATTTCGAAGCGCAACAAGGAGTCAAGCAGATCTCTTTGAGCTCATTAAACGAGGCCACTTCGAATTTCACAGTCCACATTGGGACCATGTTAGTAAAGGTGAGCAACTGTTTTACTAATATCTCGAATTTTCACTTTGCAATTCTTGAAATAGCAAATAGATTCTAAAGGACGAAACAGTGCATAAGAAGCATTGCTATGGACAAGAATTGAAGTCAAACCTGCACGCATGAGTGCAGTTCGCACATTACCAAACGAGACAAGATTAGCAACTTCTGGTAATACTTTACAGCCAACGGGTACCCATGGGTATTCGATAAGACGATCTGAATGACCCCACGGGACCGGACGACTAGTAGTCATCTGGTGGATTCTAGATTGATTGCTTAGGAAACCCTTCTTGGGCAGTCAGCTTACTGCATTAGAATTGGTGGATTCAATATATTTCAGTAGGCTAAGAGGGTAAATCGACTCAAATGTGATTAAGCCCACGGCTTCCGATGGGGCCTCAGTAGCTCAGTAGCTTTTCCCTGCTGGTGTATATTTGAATCCCGCCGAGGCAACCTGGTTTTTCACAATTGGGTCAAATGCCTTATTGAAATCTGCCAAACCCCTTTTGATAAAACTAAATTACACCAACTTATGAGCATTTCCGTGTCTCCTGGCACGTGGAATGGGGGTCTTTGCAGGAGTGTCGATGCAAAAAGTACAGATTTGTCAGAAAAACCAGCCGACATCTATGAATACAGATACATGAACATAATTATGCTGTGAGGAGGTCACAATCAATGTACATCGTAGTAAACCAGTTGTGCGGACGCTGATCAGGTTGGATGACAATGCAATGTTTACGCGTATGGCAGGCACAGGATGCCTGGCTGTCAACTCATGCCTAATTAGGCATTGTGAGGTAGAATTGCTTCCGGTCTATCTATCGTCACGATCCTACATAAAGGGAAACAGTTAAGGGCCCAGGCCGTTTGGACCGCCAAAAATTATATCGGCGAATGGAGAAGACAGAGACCACGACTGATTTGGGGGTCCGTTTCGCAAAAAACAGGCAACATTTTTAATTTACAAGTGAGGTAGTGTGTCTATGTTAGCCACGCAGGATGAAAGGGAACTATAGACTGGTTAGAGTGTAAGGACGCCTTGGAAATAAACGCTAAAGTAAATGCTGCTTGACAACCATTATTGTTTAAATATTTTATGGATCTTAGCTTTGTGTCACTTTATGCACTTTACTATCTTGGCTTTCGCAGCCTATCGAGCCGACGATTCTGTCGTCCTCAATCTTTTCTGTTCAACGTCGAAACTTATGTGGACTCAAATATCTTGGTTTAGGGTCTGGTCTGGTTTACACGATATTTTTATTTCTGCGAAGCTTGCTGAGCTTATCAAGATGGGGCTTTTCAAGTTAATTTTCTTCTTTGGAGCCCTAAATACATTAAGAGCAGTTTACCAGAATTTTTATTATATATGAAAAGTTTTAATGAACGATTTACCATATCGACGTAGGCTTGTGTGACTGGTCGGATGACAAATAAGTAATAATTGGCGTTACTTTTTCACAGTTCTTTGTGTTCATCCTTTGATAATACTCAGACTGCATAATCCTCGAACAGCTCTAGGCTGTCTGAATCTTGATTTTGAAACATAGGCACTCTCCTGCTGTTTGTTCATTCTGGAGTAGCGAAGTATTCATAGTTGTTTTGTACTAACCAAACCAACCTTGCGGCAGAACGAAATATGAGCGACTGGCTTCAAAGGCAGGCCAACGAATACCACTTCCGCGGCCAGCGGCCAGCGGTCTGTTTCCGCATTTAGTGACACGTTTATTTCACATCGTTTGTAATAAAAATTGTTGTATGTGTTACTATTTTACTTTCAGTAACACATTTTTGTAACAATTATTCACTTCGTTAACCATTTTGCCTTTGGATCTCGGAGCTTATTCTGTTGCCTAAGAAACTAAGTTCATTTCTCACCACAGCGGCAAAGGAGATGGTCTCGTCTCTTTTGGTAGTGAATCGGTTCCAGCGACTACCAACCAGTGAGATTCTTCGTCACCGGTGGCTTCTGATGTTTAACCAATAGCAACGGAGGCCTCATTATGTTCCAGGTGCGCTTAGTCCGCCTTCCTATCGGATTCAAAAAACCCTGTAAAAACCAAGCCTGAACTACTCTCACTCATCTTCTGGTGTATAAAATTGTACTGCTTCTTACTCTAACCAACTGTCTTTCAAATGAACGTAAGCTACCGAAATGTGGTAGTGCACCTTTCCATTTCACTTCCTGTTTTCTTCTTTCGCTATCGTTTGGCCTACAAAACGAACTAACGTGTATTTTTATATGTACAAAGGTTTTTCTATTTTGTTCTACCAGTTTGCATAAGATTTTCTTTCCTTCTAAATGTAATAAGTTTATCTTCTGCCTGATAAAACTTGACTTAAATGTGATTTTGTGTCCAATTAATCTATAATTTAGGGTTAACAGCGCACGATTTTCGGAAAAATCAGTAGATTGATCTTGCACCAGGATTAAGTGCTATGGCTCTCTGAAATACTTGGTAGGAGGCGCGGAGTTGGTAAACGAGCACTCAAAATATGTTTACCTAGTCTGTTAGAAAATCTCTTCCGGGAAGTGGTTAAGACTCTTTTGTGTTACTGATTTATCCGAACTGCTACGGGAATCGTTGAGGCCATGGTTAAGTCGGGAAACATACTCCAAGTAGGAGGCGCTCTAATCTTGAATACACCTAATTGTTTAATCTTTATTTCATGTGCTCCCACCTTCTTATAAAATTCAAAACTCCGCGCGCCCAACCTGAGCTAAAACGTGTCTCTTTATCAGTGTCAATTTATTAAAGAAAAGGTAAGTGAACACTTTTTGACACCCTATTGCTAGCAAGGTGCCAGGAGATATATGGATACGAAGAAAAATTAGAATAAATTACGTCAATGACATGCTTAGAGGTGAAAACAGGGCAGTTGTTGGTTAGTCCGAATAGTAATAGAACATGCCTACTAGCTTTGCACGAGTAGCATAATACGTATGAGCGTTTCATTAGAAGTTGTACTCTCCACCTAAGGGCAAACTGGACATGCAGCAAGCACCTCATTCCTCAGCCACCTGCTAATCCAGGGACAAACATACACAGACTGCACATACTCATTATACTACTCTGCATCTGAGGACTCTACTGTTATCCTTCTTGATCTTAAAAGAATGTGACTAAGTAAGCTGCTATTCTTTTAAAATATGACCGACAGACCTTTTTAAAAAATTGGTTTAGATATTTGCAGGCATCGGAAGTTGGTGGAAGGCTGGACTAATAAAATAGTCATGTTCACGAGAATGCTTTTCAGCCAATGAGAGAGATGGCACCTAAAAGCCCAGATCCGAGCCAAACTGTAATCTAGGACGTACTTTCGCTTTACTTGGAGGTTACATTTAGGTTCCCAAATAGCACGCCAAAACCCCGGTGGTAAAAGAGATTAAAGAGTTTGGATAGTAAAGTGGAATGAAAGTATAAATAAAAAAAGTAGGGCGTATTATAGTACAAATATATAGGAATAATTATTTGAACACAATTTTGCAACAAAAAGTGCGCTATAAAGAAAATATGCAACTACGCAAATATCGGCAAATGCTCAAATTTACGGTATAACGCAAACAACTACGAATTTCCGAGATAACAGTTCAATGAATTCAAAAATAAAATAAAGATCGCATGTCACTAATAAATCTAGAACTAAATTACAAAGTAAACTAAAGTAAAGTAAGCTAGTTAGTTAACACTAAATAAAACTAAAAATTAACTACATTGAAAGTCAATTAACTAAAGAAAGATAAGCCAATATAAGTTAAGCTAACAAACTTAGAACTAATCTAAAACTAAAATTAAACTAATAAAATAGAATGACCAAATAAAAAAATAAACTAAAAACTGAACTGAAATATGCATAAGTTAAATAAACTAAAGTAAGTCAACGTAGGCAAAGTAAACTAAGGTAAGATAAACTGTTGCTTAAATAACTCGAAAAGCAACCACCTGTGGCTAAAAAATCCAAAACTGAACTAAAAAGTAAACTAAAACCTAAATGAAATAACTAAACAAAGATAAAGTAAATAACAAAATTAAAAATAAGTCTGACACATAAGCGAAAGTAAGAAAACTTAATGATACGCGAAAAAGTTAACTAAAACTTAACAGAAAAGTAAAACAAACTATAGGTAAATTGGTTTTGTTTCTCTTTTTATACATGGCGCGCCAAAAATTGATGCCAAACATTAGATTATGTAAACAAGTTTTCGGATCTCAATTTAACTTCCACACACCAATGGATGGAATATCCTGCGATCATTCCACATCGTTAACAATGGTAAGAACCTAACTGATTTATCCTTTCTTAATTTCTTTCTTACTTCAGAAGTTCATTCAATGTTTCAGGAGATAACCCATTTAATGTAAGAGCAAAGTCTTCATAGTACAAGACACAGATAAACGAAGAAAAGATTATACTCCCTTTTTTCTCTAGCACCCAAAGGGCATTATTCCATTCTAAAAAAAACTCTGTTGTTCCTTTTCCCTCGCAACTGCACCAAACCACGGACCTGGTATTATTTTTTTAACGAAAAGATATGAGCAGAGCTTAAACCTGTCTAATGCATTCAACTTTGCCTGCCTCCTGTCGAATCCATAAACGCGCCCTGTCCGACCTAAAACTGGATTCCGAGTTGGCAGGGGTCAATTACTCAAAGGAGTAGACTTTATGCAGCAGTCTGGAAGCTAGCGTAAATTCTTCTATGGGATCTGATGGCAGTTGTGTTGGAAGATATTCGGGTGGACGTCTAATTTCGGTCATTAAACATCTATTTTTCGGAAAACTGCCTACTTAATCTGTAACAGTAGGTATACTTGATTTTAATAATTTAGCAATACAACATGACCGATATTTGGACATGCACGCTGCCCGACTTGGAACATGGATGCTATCTAGGATACTTTCTTGGCAGACAGATCGCTAGTGTGTTTTGGAGTTGGTTATTTTATTCACCAGCTGCCTGTTCATGCACCTCTGGTGTTTCAGTATTAGGGAAGACGGTGGATTTCACG